GGATAATGCACTTTCCATTTAATATCTGTTTTTAAAAACAGTAATATTCAGAGGCAAACGTTAAGTGGTGCATAAAACAAGTATAAAATGAGGTTAACCGCTAGTTTTGTCCTAAAAATGAATAATCGAACTCTTGATCTAGTGAATTGTACACCAGCGGTGGCAGCCTTTTACTATCAGGCTTGCTCGTTTGCCACCCATTAAAAAAATGCAGTGGCAGGGCACGCAGCAGCTTCTGCTGTTGCACGAATGGGCAGGCCCGCGCGGGGAGGACCACGGCCTCAAAGAATAACGACGTAAAGCTGTAGTATTCCATTTCGTGTGCGATGCGAACCGGGGCGGAATCGGTTAAGAGAAACGCAAAGGAATCCGTAAACCAACCAGTCTTAAAGACGTCCACAAGTAAACATTTAACAGGTGGATCACCAAACCAGGAGTGTCTAGCTCCTAGTGTATTATTTTTAAAGAAGCCGCGGCAACGATACGTCTCTAAAACGTACTTTGTTGCCGAACGGACAACCTTGTCGGCAGATTCGCGGGGACGTGACGTCACTCGGCGAAGGCAGTTGAGACGATAACTCAATTATTCTTTCCCTCTATAATGGCCGCGATCACTTTACGATGACGGTATTAAATAGGTAATTGACCCATGTATTATTAGCGATTTGACAAATGATGTCGGCACATTCGCAAGTGAGATAAGGTCAATAGGCCTTGGTCGCAATCGAAATAGACAAAACTATCTTTATATCATCGTGTTTCGATTACTGCACCACTATTTAACATGGTCTATTGACAAAAGTAAACAAGAATGGCGTATTGTATTACTTGTAAGGAAATGATTTAAAAACGTTAATATCAAATGTCCTTTGTCCTTCAATTGCCTTTTATTAATACCTTAATGGAATTTTATGCAACATGTTTGGCATTTCGCAAATATCTTTGCTAGTCGTATTGCATTCGTATGGTAACATTCTGAACATATTAGTAGAGGTCGGTAGAGACAGTGTTTACTTTCGACGTTTTTAAATTTCTCCCGATCGCTTCGTCAATGCCACACATTTATCGTGTATTTGGAAACAATTTTATGGTCCGCTCTACACGAAAAGGGCACACTAATTTTTTGCACCGCGAATTAGACTTCCTTACGCACTCGTAGTGAACATTGAAGGCTGTATGTAGATATTTTAAAGAATCGTATTCTTTCTTATTCCTTGATCAAATATGTGCATTTGAGACTGTACCGAAGGTGACAATAGGCGAGGACGAACGGCTTTGTGCTACGGCAAATCCGACGGGGTCATTGCCTGTTTGATAAAATGCGGTGACGTCGCGATTAGATTGTTATGCATTATCTGTGCACGTTGCTTTAAAAACGGCGGTGGCGGCAAAGTGCTAGTGCGATTTATTAAAAACAAATGACGTCGACTTGATAATTAAATACGTTATATTATTCGTAACGTTAATAACGTCGTCAATAATGAACATGATGTCCAATCTACTTTTGTTTATAATACACTCACGCTATTATCATTAGTTTATAATTTACATCTAATTCAAAAAAACTAACGTATTGATTTATATAAGTCTCCACTACGTCGTTTTGTACGTGTTTTTTTAAACGTAGGATTTAAGTTTAAAAATATTTCTAACTAAATATTTTTAATAGTATTTGACATAAATTATGTGTTATTTTTGACATCTGCTTTATAATGTTGCTTATGCGAAATATTAATTAGCATATCAACAGGTGTCGTTATCTGACACCGCCACATAACTGTCAATAACCGATAAACGGGTTTATAACCACTGTGTTCATTGCCATATTGTATTTTCACGATACGAAAAATCAAGTTAAGTTTACAATTTTCCTGTGTAATTGGAACAAACATAGTCGTACGCAGATAATTAGGTCGTAGTTGAAAAATACTAAAGCCCGAACACAGTTATCGTTAAAATACTATTTGAAATAGCCGTTTTCAGTTTCCTTCGACATAGGCCGAATTATTGAAAAGGATTAAAAAAATAATAGTCCGATAACCCTTCGACCTCGTAACGTGCAGGACGATAAGTGCGCGGGCATCGGGACAAAGTCGCGGCCATTGACCCCAGCCTATCAGCTGACGACATCGCATGGACTGCGGGAAATTATCTTTCACGCCATATTTCGGTCATTCACTACCGCCAACCCGCCATAGATTCGATTCGAGATCGGAACGTAAGAAAACGCCGTGACAAAAATCCCGCATCGTCGTAAAAACAATTATAAACATACTCGTTCCCTCTTAAATTAAATACGAGCAAAATTATTCGAATGCGTGAATCAGATTAACTTCCACCCATCAACATATTCTGGTTCCCGGCCCGTTTTTATTTGGAGATTCCTCGAAAAATATTGCCGGTAACAAAATGTTAAAAGCAGTTTTCGTGGAATATCAGTCGCGATATCAATATTAAGACCACCAAAGAACGTTTTTGCGTTCAAAAAGAAATTCAAGAGAATCGTGAACTGAGAAACTTTGTAGTAATCATTAGAGTTTCTTAAAACGTGTTACGTGAGTGCAATTGCTCAATCATCGTCAACATCATAAGATCATAATATTAGTATCATATTAAATATATCCGGCTAATATCAATGTGATCTAATATTTACGTTGTTCCAAAAATAGTTACTAGGACCAACGGCACCATAATAAAGCGAATTTTATTAATTACTAGCTGTGCCCGCGACTTCGTCCACGTGGAATTTAAAATAAAAAAAAATCTAAAATAAAAGTAGCCTTATCGAGATTAAGCCGGAACAAACAGACAGACAGACAGACAGACAAAAATTATAAAAAAAATTATTTTGGTATATGTACCGTGTACACATCCATATGCATTTAATAAAAAGCGGTTATTTTAATATTACAAACAGACACTTCAATTTTATTTATCTGTATAGATAAGAAGAGAAAATATTTGTAGAATAGACGATTGTCCGATATATCATTTTTTTTATGAAATCATAAAAAATTATGTTCGTCGCGTGGTTTTCTAGTCTTCGTCATAATTATGATTATAACGTTAGAGTTGAGAGGTTACTAACGCAATATTTATGCCTTATGGCATAAATCGATGTATCGTTAGCCTTTACATTGTTATTTTCAATCCCGAAGGTTATATTTACATCTTCGCTATACAGTTAGATCTAATGTGTTTATTTATTTCATAATTAATTTTTATATCATTTGGTTACCGTAATAATTCTATCGCAAATAAACAAACAAAGTAAATGAATTATTTAAAATAAAACAAACCTATAAGTACATATAGATTATTATTAGGACTTAATTTTTTTAAATAAGTTCCTTCTATTATTAATTAGCGCACAAATTTTTACAATATATAATGAGTTTATTATGTAAAGGAAAACGTTAACTTTAGTGATGGCACTAAAGTTAATGTTTTTCTTAAATTGGAAGGAATTTGAAATTGGAAGCACATCTATGGAGATGTGCTTCCAATTTCATATCCTGCATAAAAGTCACCTTGCTGTATAGTTATAACCTAAAAAAAATTAAGAATCTTGACGTTGCTGCTTTTGGCGCCAAAAGAATCGAACGCCGCCTGCGCAGGTACGGCTGCAACGAAACACTAGCATCGCGACCTACTTGCGCGCCCCGCCCGCGACGCTCACATCGCACCGCTAAAAATAGATGAAATGTTGTGAAAGCCATATAGCAAATGTTCATGTTTGAGAATGCAGCTATACGTTATGTTAGATCAATAAAATAATGAACTTTTAGTTACAAATTCAACAATTAAACGAGCATCGTGCCAATCAACAAAAATAACAAAATATTAATCAGGTGTACTCATAGGTCAGATAATTAAGCAAATCTAATATGTGTAATTTTTTATGTAAAATTTGACGATTCATAAGAACGCGCAAGCGTCTATTTGAATAAAGATTTTTGATTGATTGATTGAATCATTCTAAAATCCCTATGAAAATCTTGTTTTTTTTTATATTTTGAAACTAGCCATCTTTTTATATTCAAAGTCTAAATTCGTTTATTCAATAAATTATAATAATTACTTAATTTAAATAACTTAATTTAAAAAGACTTGAACGGAAATCATGTATGAATCGAAATCAATCAACAATACTACATTAACTTTCTATTGCGTTATGATTGACAGTGCAAAGAGGACTTTTGTCGTCCGAGCGTAGAGAGTACGAAATCTGCCCAATCAATGATCAATGATTCGATTATGGAGAGGGCCTAGTGGCCGACTCTTTTCTCCATTGGTGATGTCGAAATTTCTCAAGTGTGCACACTCATGCACGATTTAAAAACCAGTCCCCGTGAGCCTTGAGGCACTTGGCCACTTGCCACGCCCATTCAGACACACTGGAGGGAATTTTTAAACAAACAGTTAGGTTTAAACGTGATTTACAAATATCAGATCATCATTTTACTTCTACATACACATTTTACGGCAACAGACACGTTTTTTAGTAAAAGTGACGATACTTATCAAACCCGCTAAGTTTATTCAACGACCACCAGATGTTCAACGTTCCACGATTATGGAACAATAAAGTTTTACTTCCGCGTACGTAACGACCGCGGCATTATCTTGATAAGTAGTGGCATTGAAGAGTGCTAATACAGACAAGGTTTCCGTGTTGTAGCAAGCGAAGCGTATATAGATAAATTTAATGTTACAACTATTCTAACGTTTCTCATATCATAACGTTAATGAAACTAACAACGATCGCGGATACGCAACGTCAGCTAACGGTACATATGTAGGTATCTCGTTATGGCTACGTTTTACGACGTCTAAGAAATCCATAGCGGATGACTAAGAAATCCAGCCTACTTCAAATTCACGACACCCCGCAGTTTTAATAGCTGATAGATTTTATGAAAGCACGACACGACACCGCAATCCGGTTTCTTTCCACGTATGCGCGACCGCTCTCGCTGAGCGCAAGAGTCGGTATTTACCTCGGCTTTCTGAGGAAGACGCCAATAAACTCCGTGCAGCGAAGACGCAGGCCCGGTAGCCACACAGCACTATCACTGTAACCAACACTGTTGCATCCAGTCACAAAGGCAGCGTGGAGGCGCGGTGCCCGCTTCGGAGCACAAAAGTGCGAGACTTTCGCAGGGGAAACGAATAAAAGTCTGATAAGACAGCGTGGCAGCGACACTAACGTATCCACGCGAGGCTTGAAACAGACTGGCCGAGCGGGCGGAGACGAGCCACGCCGAGCGGCGGTTCGTTGTGGGGGGCGAGAGAGGGCGACGCGGTCTCACTCGCTCTCGTAGAGCTGGCGTGATCACGTAGAGTGGGGCGAAACAGGCCGAGGATCTCCGGAACGTGCCGAGGGAGAGCCGCTAATCCCGCTATCATCGTCGCTACGGTATCGCGGGAGATGAGGAGCGCGAACGCCGATGTGCGTGCGTGATGCATCGAACGCGAACGCGCTGCACTCGGCTCGCCCGCAAACAATGCCCGCCGGGAAGTCTGATAAGCTGAACTCGCTGAGCACCGCCACTTGTCACGGAAGCAATTAGTTATTGCAACACACTGAAGCGTGCATGCGATTAAATACGCCTTAAGACGCTAAGGTATTATTTTGGAATCGTTGCTGTCTGGCATTGTTCTTTCCGTTAGAAACCCTTTGTCAAATAGAAATAACAAGCCTTATTATGTGTGATGCTAATGCCTTTATTAAACTAGTTCTGATACTTATGAAGTTGCCCAATGTTGCGGTACGATTAAAACGTGTGAAAGTTTGTATTTTCAAAGTATGTAGAGTCAGTATTCACGCTCTCTTCTTGATGTTTCTTATTTAGCAAGTTGCGGTACTCCACAAGGTGAAGTCCTCCGATCTTCTCGGTGAAGTTGGGTTGCGTGTGGAGTTTTTTTTTTTATGTGAAAAGTTGCCAAACGAGCAGACGGTTCACCTGATGTTAAGTGAATACCGCCGTTTATAAGTTTGTTGACGACTCTTACTTGCTTAGAAAAAAAAGTGGTATGAACTGTTATTTAGATGTTTTTTTTTTCTATTTCTTTAAATGCAACGAGGTTATTGGCTACAGACGCGCTGCTGCATCTCGCGTGGCCTTATAGGGATGCGTGCTTGTAGGGGACAGGTTGAGGATGGTAGAGGAGGAGGCACTTTCCCTGTCTTCTGCCTAGGAGTCGCGGATGAAGAGGAGTCGGTATTGCGTTTTGCCGCTTTCCCTATCCTGCGCGACTCGGCGGAGCTACAATTCTGATGCAGTAGTGTCGGTATTGCGATACGCCGAACACATGCAATGAACTCGGGTCGGGAGTATGTTGGCCGTGAAATAGGGGCCGAGTAGTAAGGCGCCCTGAATGATTCAGCGTGCCTTATATAGAGGTTCCCGTGGCCCTGTCGATTTGCTCTTAGGTGGAACATCGTGGGGGTTTTAGTTGGTGCGAGTCCGTTTTAGCCGAGCGTGATTTCCCGGGGCGTGAGGAAAAATCGTGGTAGATCTCTAATAACATTTATCTCTATTTCACCGCGTTCGATGTTAAAATTCCGTTATAAAGCGATTTACATGAAACAAAAACTGGAATATGGAGTAAATTTCTCTGCGCGCAAACTTTTTCGCTCAGTTCACGGTTGAATCGCGTTCCGCGTCGGACTCGCCTATTCGTTTACCGTAGGACGAAGCGGGATAAAAAGTATCAGTGTCTCGCTCTTTAGTTTTAGCGGTTGCGCTTGGCGTTAAGGGGCTTGAAAGTAGTGAGTAGTGACGTAATTTCAGTTTGACTTTAATTAAGTCAGACACCTGAATTTAAGAACTTTAAGAATTTAAAAATATTAATTCATTATGTCAACTAAATTGCTTCCTAGGTTTAAATGGGTATAAAATGGAGTAGACTGAAAATGTTTAATTTGGCCACAGAAAAAGTGATACTGTGATCTTTGAAAAAATAAAAAGTGCGAAAGACTAAACACAGATCGCGAAAAGAAAAAAAAGCAAAGGTATGTGTACAAAGTAACATAAGCCCTGAGGTATGCGAAGATAATAAGTTGTCAGGATAATGTAGTTATAAATAAGTACTGCACATTTTCGAATAAACAATTATGGAATTAATTAATAAGCTGGTAAGGTAAGTTTACATATTAAAATAACCGGCCAAGTGCGAGTCGGATACGCACAAGCAGAGTTCCGTACCATCTGTAAAAAAGGGCAAAAAAATCAAGTCTGTTGTATGGGAGCCCCACTTAATTATTTTTTATTCTGTTTTTTAGTATTTGTTGTTATAGCGGCTACAGAAATACATCATCTGTGAAAATTTCAACTGTGTAACTATCACGGTTCATGATGCCTGGTGGTAGACGGACAGAGAGACAAACAGAACAGCGGAGTCTTAGTAATAGGTTTGTTTGTGTTTGGTCCCGTTTTACCCTTTGAGTGCGGAAACCTAAAAATAAAATATTGCCTGTTAATTTTCACGAAATGCAAGATGCAGTTATACTTTTTATTGGACTTTATTAGTTTTAAAAATAAAAAACATAACAGTTTACAGAAGAAAAATACAAAAGATAGCAGTTGAGCGTTAAAAAAAATAGCATGTCGTCGACGGTGTGCCAATTTCACCGCATCTCTATTCGCGTCGGAATCCGTAATCAACGTGCGGCCCGCGGCTTTCGTCGGCTTTGCAGCTAGCAGTCGGAGCTCCCAGACACACGGTTCGCACAACTTTCCGTCGCGATTGTTCCTCGCACGTGGGAACTTTTGTTTTTGTATAGATTTGCCTTGTGATTTTCTTCACCGTATGTCATGGCGAAAAAAGAACTGTTAATGCCTTTATTCTTTCTGCATATAAACACATTGAATTAGACATCACTACATTGTATAAAACAAATTCGTCCCACTGTCTGTCTGTCCCTAGGTATGCTTAGATCTTTAAAACTACCCAACGGATCTAGATGCGGTTTTTTTACTAGATTGAGGGATTCAAAAGAAAGATTTACATGTAAAATACATTGCACCCGTGCGAAGCCGGGGTGGGTCGCTAGTATGGTATATTTGACTAATCATTGCAAATTTGCAATACATTTACCTGATATAGTTTCCAAATAAAGAAATAACCATTGGAAGAAATACTTTTCGACTTATTACAAGAACCGGTGGCCACAAATTCCGCTTATAAATGTATACCATTTTTATTTTTTTTATTAAATAATAAGGTGTCTATCATACCAGCCAGATTACATAAAAATACTACCACTAAGATATCAACAATACACGAATGCGAAAACAAGAATATGTCTAAAGAGCATGTTTTTAAAACGTGCGAAATCCCGGTAGTGCGTTATCTGCGGTGGGGCTAATCGCACCTCACGAACCCGTAACAATGCTCACGGCACGTGACGCGCGTGCATCCGTCTATTCCCCCCCTATCGTACAACAAAATAACATTTTAACACGCCCAATATGTATAACGTAGCGTTTCGGTAAACGCTACGTTATACATAACGTAGCGTTTACCGAACAGTTGACAGAATGACGTTGAAGACGTGAAGCCATCTGGTAGTAATTGATTTCCGTCTAATTTTGCATAAGTAATACAATTGAGGTTTGCAATGTGTACATATCTTTTGATTTAATAGTTAAAATATAAGATTAGGCTTTGATGTAGTAGGGACACGCAAGACAGCTTTTGCTGTTGCACGAATGGACAATCTCGTTTGAGGTAGTCCACGGCTGCATAGACCAATTTGTGAAAGTATTATACTTATGCCTTTCATCTGATGGGTGGCATAAACAACAACTCTTTTAGATTGGCCACGCATTTGCAACCCCAACGATGTAGATATCTATGGTCAGCGATATTTACCTCACATCAAGTGAACCGCACACAACCGGTAAGAGTGTCTAAGTGGTTCGTGAGAAAACTTTAGTTGTGCTGCAAGAAAACTGTTATATTCAATAACTGGTTGCCATTATACTAAAATTTATTTATTTTTTATGCACTGAATGGTTTGTCGAATCGCTTCGGTGATAAGATTAAAATTTTTCCACGTCCGTATATTTTAATCGCATCTTGTCTTTAGCGTTGTAGCATGTCTTTAATATTTTTAATGAATCATATATTTTTTAATTTCACCCTTAACTCTATGATTACTCACTTGAAGTATGTTTTTCTTATTATTTTAATTGCTACTTTCTTTTTACTATTATTATTATTATTTTTTTTCCTTCATGTACATCCTACCCATCAACAATTCCTTTTGGTAACTTTTTGAGGTTGCCTGGAAGAAATTGCTGTGTAGCAATAAGGCCGCCTTTTGATGACCAATATTTTGTTAAATATTTTGTTTTTTGTACTTTTTCATTTTGATTTTTTGGTGTACAATAAAGTATATTATTATTATTATTATTATTTGTGGTCAGTCAAGGTAGATGGCTATGGTTCCAGGCAAGATGTCAGCAGTATAGAAGTTATATGGTGGTAAGAAGTTTGGATGGCCGCAGGATCAATATCTGCAATTGCAAAAAAGTAACTGTACAAAGGCTAACTTGATGTCATCTGAATATAGTATCTTAAGGGGACCCAAAAAAGTAGATAAACATTATAACATTCTCAATACGCAAACGATGTTGTTGCTAACACACCGCTGCATGTGCACAAGATTTTTATTATGAGACGAGATTCTCAGACAGGCTCCATATTCATTAGCTAGCAAGGTGGGCGTGTAACGTCAATGAAAATATAAATAACATTTTATATTTTTTTTATTTTACATGATAATAATGGTTATGTTTATGAATACCATGCCGTTATTATTGAAATGTTATCCTTTCAATATAATATCTTTTACGGATACTATGACTTTATGCATTATAATAAAATACAAATACTACTTAATACAAAAATAAATATTTAGTACGTACCTTCTTAAACTACGAAAATTTAATACTATTCGATAATTGTTAGCATTTAGAATTTACATATGTATATAGTTAGCTACACACATATTAATCAGGCTTTATACAGCGTGTCTTTACCATCGCGACAATAAATGAACACACATATAGAGGATAACTTTTTAAAATTGTATTAAACATTTAAATTCTTTAAACATCAATATTTACAGAGTTATTAAATTTTCCAAAACAAACAATTTTTAGAACACCCTTACGTATAAAATTGTAACGTAAAGTTCATTTGTAAAGGTCACAAAGCATATGAATGGGTTGAATGAATTTAAAAGAGACAAAACAAACTGTTTGAAGGAGAGGAGAGGTGTAATACGACGCTGTGGCGCGAGATATATAGGATGTTACAAATTTTGTTTCTTTTTTACTTAATTAGTTGGTTTGAAATTTTTTTTTTTATCATGGATTTTTTTAAAGTTAATATTTTTTTATAATTATTGCAAGTAGCGTTAGACGTGTGTTCATTTACTGTCGCGATGGTAACGA